CACTGCGGTCAAACGTCTGCGTGTTGACTGCGTGAACTGGAGCCGGACTGGAAATATTGTCTTTAATTGCGAAGCTATAGCAAAAAGTGTAAAGAAATTTACGAGAGTATGAACTTAGTATAACTTCGTCTTTACTTTATTTATTAGCATGGTTTTCTATGATTCTTTTCTTGGCTCATTGAGCCAATTGCGGAATCGCAAAGCATCATGGTAGTTCAGTTAAACAGCAGAATTTTTCAACATGTCGCTTATACTTTTCGAACTCGGGAAGGTGCTAAACACATGAGAATTGCGAGAAAACTTCTATCATTTTCGCTTTCATTAAAGTTCTTACTAAATCTGTACGTCTTGTTTCATATTTCCACTACGGCTTGGGCTTCTACGAGGGATTGTTTTTGAAATATTCAACATGGCGTACAGAGACACTGAAGCGGGGGAAGGAGCTCGATTCGTAGTAGTCAAGAACAATTTTGTTAACATTTTGCAACAGAAAGGTGAGTACTACATTGTTCGAGGTAAGGAACACTTTGTGACTTATTGTTTGCCTAAAAGTTACAATGATCGGTTTAATTCTAGCGACTCGAGAGGCAAAGATGTTTGCACACTTGACCGTCCAGAAACAACAGACGTTTGATCAAACGCTCTTAATTCGCAAACCAAAATATTGAGGTCATTTCGCGCGTAAAGTAAAAACAGTTGCTGTTTGAAATGCTGTTCAAGCGTCTTATTGGAGATTTTTAACTTCACTATATTTACGCGAGTCACATTTAAAACAACCTCGCTTGTTTCGAGTATATTTTGAAAAGTTACGAGCCGTTTGGTTTGCCGTTTGTTTCTATAGATCTATAAATATGGCAAGTGACACGGAAAAAGTGCCAAAGGATAAAAAGTACGGAGGAACGACCTGTTTTGTGACAATTTGTTGAAGCAATCTGGAATTATCCTTATATAAATTTCCTGTGGATTAGAGCTTAATATGGCTGAATTTATTGGGAATGCAAAGTGTTCCTTACACTTTCTTGGTGTAAAGCAGGTGCTGGGTTGTTGTAGTCTGCTGTGTAATGTTTTCCTGTCTTGAATGTTGCCTTGCTTATTTTTACTTGGTCGAAAAGCACTGCAGTATCAAGTTCCTAAAGCCTTGCGGGCGCCTGGTTTTTAAATATTTTGGGCTTATTTCAATGAAATCCTGTAAAATATAAAATTTACCGCTGGGATTTGCGTTTCATCGCTTAGTTTTGAAACCATCCGCATTCAAAAAATGGCGTATGCAAGGTCACTCTCGAATAGGTCAAAAAGGTGTTATGATTCTAAAGGAAGTGAAGTAAAGGCGTATATCCGGAAATATTTAAGAGAGCTTGTGGCATTTGAGGAAGAAGGCATTTTCACTGCGATTTGTGTGTTAAATTTTCTGGCAGTCGGTCACTACACGACTATAATTTTGCCAGCAGTGGTATATAGCACTAAAGTAAAGTAGAAGAATGGCTGTTTCAATGAGTGGTAATTTCTTTTCGAAATTTATGTTTGACTCGTTGGCCCAAGTTTTTGACTTGAGAGGATATTTGCAAAATGGGCAAGCACTGATGTTTGCTAGGTTACACTCGAGGTGCAAAGAGTGTCCACAGCCTCGAAAAATGCGACACAAAGGACTGTCACGACTGTATTAGATCACTGATTTTTAGATAATTCCATTCGATCTTATCACATTTGCTGTGTCAATGGAAATTGAAGGTAATAATCCCCGAGCCAACGGAGCGCCGTTCCGGGCGTAAGCCCGGGGCGAGGGTACTAATTTTTCCCGGCTATTTACACCCGGGGAAACGAAAGCATTAGCGAAGTCTGAAGTTCATCAGTGATCGCGAGCGTGGGTCACCAACGGTGTTGAGCGGGTGGTCATCCTCACTGATCTCAAAATATGTGGCGGACTGTCATGAATAGCGAACACTGATAGGTCAATTTTAAAATTTGTTGTTGTGATTGATTTGATGACAAATGACGACGGCGAAATAAGGAATATTTTTTGCAAATGAGCAAATATATTGTATTTTTGCAAGATTTTGCAAATTTCAAAACTTTTTGAGAGCCAAAAACCGTCTAAGAACGTCTAAAAGAACAGAGCAAAGTCGCCGACGTTAATGAAGGTAAGTTTGCTTTTAATATAATATATTTTTGCTCTATAATTGCTTTAAAAACTGATACGATGGTTGCGTATATATAAGTGAAAAAAGACAGCATATAATTTGAGTGTATTTTTATTAATTATCCTTTTTTTTCTATTAAAATATTTAAATAAAGAGGAAAGCAAAGTTATTTTCATGCAAGAATTTGAAATCAATTTATTTCGATTTTGAAACTCAATGTTTACCGATAAAAGGCAGTTTAGTTTTAAGTACATTTTGAAACGTTTTGCGAAGCGTTTGTGGTTGATATTTACATTAAATTGAAGCTTATAATTATTACGTATAATAACATACCTAGCATATATATTATAATTAAAAGTGATATTTTAGGAGGATTTTACAATTTTAAAACTATTCTTAAAATTATCGTTTTACCATGGCTATACTTCATGTTTGGAAAACATAATAGTTTTGTCAGCAATGCGAGGGTTTCTGCATTCATGTATTTTCTAATATCAAACATATTATATATTTCATGCTTATGATTCATATACATTTTATAGGCTGTCAGTATATTAAAATATTCATATTTTTTTAGCACCAGACCGTCAGTCAACAGAGGGTTTCTTATTTTCTTTACTTTAGTACGCAATTTTTCCTATGTGTTTTATGTAATTGTAGAAAATAGAAAGACCACAGTACAGTATATTTCTAGGATCATGGAATCAACAACTATTTAGTAAAGCATATAAAACTCGTGATAGGGATGAAGTGTAATTAAACTGAACATACATTGTTGGATTAGGATGTCTTTCCACAACCTCGTACGCAGGCTCTCCCCTCTGGTGGAGGAAAGACCCTGGCTGGGGCTGGTCACGTGGCACGCGGAAACTTGATCGCCCAAGGGGGAGTAGGCAAAGTATCAAATTACATGCTTCCACTTCCGCACTTATACTTTGATTGGAAGGAGTGAGAGTGTTCTGTACAATCAACTTTGAGAATAGTATAAAATTCAAATACTTGCTAAATTTGGATCCTGTTTGCTTTTAAATTATCAAAACATGCTAGACATACTTTTATAGCAGCAGACAAGTCAGGAAGTCAAGCAATAAAAACGTATGATCGTATGCATTGAAATTGTTCTCATGTTCTCTCGAGGCCTCTGGCTCTGGTTCACTTCACATATTTATATATTCTTATAATATGCCGTTAGCGTTATTTGGAAACGGTATAAGCTTTGAATTTATTTACTTGTTAATTTCAGTACAATACTGTGGTAGGTCGTAGCTCCTTTTGAGGTCTTCTCGCGCAAACGTTACACGCTTAAAAAGACATTGAATCTCCGGACATTCTATTGATTCAAAAAATGTTTATAGACATCGCATATTGTCTTTTTTAATAGGTTAAATGATTGTATAATTGATCGTTTGTATTAAACACTAGGTAGTAATTAAGGAGTGTATAAGATACAAAAATTGTTAGGGAATCTACAGTACAGAATTATAGATAACTACTGTATACTGCTTTTCTTATTTTGTCTGTACGCGAGTATAATGATTGTAAAATAGTGCACACTATGTGCTATAATATATAATTCAATAGCCATTTACCCTCGTCTTTTATACCTTGCCCATTGAATGCAAAGGGGTGACAGCAGATATAATAGAAAAATACTTTCTTATAAAACCATATAACGGTATAAACTGCCTCTACACTTTGTCAGGGTCAGGGATATATTATACATAATTCATAAGTCCCGCAGAGACACAACATTGCTCGATAAGTTTTTATAAGCATTTTAAAGTTTCTATTGTCTGTATTGATATATCGGCTGTTTGTCTCTAGCATAGTTGGATGACGTTCATAAGATAATTTAACCAATAGAGTTCACTGGTGAAAACAGATAGCTATACTTCGAAATAATTCTTGTTCGTTGAGTTTCAGCAATGTCAATGCAAGGAATTTTATAGTCCATAAGAACGCGGGTCAATTTTTAATCATGTGCTTTCACAAGTCAAGATAGAGTATCATTGTTTACAAACAGTTGGCGATGTTTCGGCGACGTTGTAAAAATATCCGTTCGAATATCGCACAGGATACACTTCAATTTAACAACCAGATCGTTCGTTTGATCGGTCGGTCGGTGTGGAAGATAGTAAGTTAAAGTAGCTTCTACGATGAAGCGTGTTCAAATTCGCAAGCTGTACGTAGCGTGTGGTGTTCTTTCCTTGCAGTTGAAATATGATTCAGCTTCTTTGAAATATAACTCAACACTCATTATTGATGACATTGATATAGCAGGAAGTCTTGTCATGATAAATATAATTTTAGTAAACAGTTTAATTCACGATTTCTTGTTGCAAATTACATTTTTATCACCAGAAACTACAACACATAAGTTGCAATTTTCCAAACACGACAAACCACTCCTCTACCACCCTACCCATAGACACATTTTATTTTAGCACGCAGAATCTGCGTGCCACGTGACCAGCCCCAGCCAGGGTCTTTCCTCTACAAGAGGGAAGGGCCTGGGAACGACTTTGGTCATTCCACTGATGAAAAGCCCAATGGAAGAACTCGGTTGGTGACAACTGTTGTGAGAATATTATGAACGTTTTATAATATTAAGAACTCATTAAGAACTCATTCAGTTGGAACTTACTAAGTTATTTAGCTGATTATGCAGCGTATTATTAGTTATATTATCTAGTATATTGTTATGTTAATAAAGTAAAAAAAACACATAAAAATAGAACGCTATTTTAGACTTAGATTAAATATACTGTGTATGTAGTCGGTAAAGTACGTGTCAAAAATACAATTTAGTGAAACCGATATTTGAGTTTATAACATTGGCGACAAGGAATAAACAAAGTTAGTATGCCTCCTAAATCGAGAAAGGCGTTAAAAATCGAAGCATTCGAGCCAGACGAAGACATATTAGAAACCACATGCAAATGCAAACAAAGACTCGAGATTCAAATGAAATATTTCGACATCGTAAAGCCAGACGATATGAAAGCAGCGTTGTTAGTTCATGGTGGCGACAAAATCCTTTCGATAGACGAGAACGGAGCTGAACCAGAAGGCGACTTGGACGAATACAAGAAGCTTATAGCGAAAATTGAGCATGTATACGTGGCGAAAAACACGAGATTGCACGCGAGGTTTAGATTTAACAAAGCCGTTCGACAATCGAATCAATCTATTGCTCAATATGAACTCGAACTTCGACGACTCGCTAAAGAGTGTGACTTTCACGGATACGACGAAGAAATGATTTTAGACCGTTTGATATTAACGTGCAAAGACGTCTTTCCTTGTACCCGCAAAGATTCCACCTGTTTCCTTGTTCTTTTGAAACCCTTGGCAACCCTCACATCTGATTTCGAAACCTTTCAATTAACTGATTTATAATAATTATTTGTATTTAATTTTGCCCCGACGTTTCTACTTACACAATGAGTTGTCTGAGGTTCAGTTCGGTGATTAGAAGATAATGAGCTTGTAGTTACCGCGCATGGGCGACTAAATGTTAAATTGTCTTTGCTGTACCTCTAGAGAAAACTCCATGTATAACAGATGGAGCTGTCTAATGCAAAATGAAATGAAGTTAGCTTAGCAGTCGTTCACCCAAATTCATTAAATTTTTCATAGGTCGGTGTTACGAGCGAGGGATTATTGAAAGCCGTTGATCTCACGTGTTACGCTGCTTGTGGGAATGCGACTACTGAATGTGCAGTGGCATATTTTTCAATCATGATGGATAATGGTGAGTTTTCTTCACGGGAAGTGCTGACGCGTGTGGTATTTTCGCACGTGTTTGGTTGTTTTCGCGTTAATTTTAGTATTTGCGCGTTAATTGGGGGGGGGGGGGATGGGTAATTTCCTCATATGTATGTATGATTTGATTGGACGAAATGTTGTTCTCGCGAGTAAAAAATTGTTTCGCTTTCCTGATTAGTTTTATCAATGTTGAAGCGAGTTTTATTTCACATATTAAGTAAGTCGATTAGAAAGAACTGGGTTTATTACCAAGAACCGCGTGATCGATTTCCGAGATTTTGACTTGATTAACAAATAACTAGACACTTGTGAAACTAATGATTCTCGAAGTGTTAGCATATAGACTGAGTTCGCTTAATATTTTGCTTTAATTTGGTCAAACAAGATACTTTATCCGGGCAAAAATTTGTCTAGTACAGTGTATAAATGAGGTGTAAATCTGCACAAAGCATATAGATAACTCAGTGCGCACTTTTCAATATTATTTCCTCGCATTCCAATTCGACAGATGAGTTAAATGTCCCACAATATTCAGAATAAACATGCCGTGCCTAAATTTAACATTTGCCGTTCATCAAATTTTGCCGTGTCGTGCGTGCCATTGCAAAATATTGCTATTATTGCAGCTATACAGTCGTGTACGTGCCGTGTAAACGGGGCATAAGTTAAGGTAACAAATTATCTGCAGCTAGGTAACTTAATTTTACAGTTTTATATCGCTTAGTCATGACTATAACTGCACGCTTTTATGTAACTATATATTAAGCAATTATTGGATGAGGCTGAGCATGATATTAAGAATTATTCAGACCGAGGTCAATGTTATCTGCCGAAGCGAAGCTGAGGCGGATAACATAGACCGAGGTCTGAATAATTCTTGATATCATGCGAAAGCTGAATCCAATAATTGTTTTATTATACATTTAAAGACATGAGAAACGTATAAAACGATTCCTGTTCATGAGGTAGGAAAAGTACAATTTGAATATCAAACACCTTGCACAAAGTCAAAGGTCAGTTAAATATTCTATTTCTACTTCTATTTACCCCTTCGTTGCTTTTTTCGTGCTTTCACTATCCTTATCTGCCAATAATTTGGAGAGTTCACTTTCATTTAGCGAAGCAAATCTGCTGTAGGCCATTGTTTGTTTGTTTTTTTCGCGCGCTTATAGGTTCAAGCTTTTGGCCGCGCAGGGGCTTGGGCACGAGAGAGTCCAATAATTTTTTTTTTGGATGCAAGTTCGATCCAAAAAAACAATTATTGGACGCTGATGACGTCATCGGCGGAAAATACGTAATAAATGCCGAATATTGAAAATTAGCCGGTGCTTTCTGACCAGTTAGAAACGAGAATACATATTAAATGTATAATAATATTACATATTTAAGAGCGGATGTCAGTAAATATCGACCGGGGGCGGTCAAAATAAGAAATATCGAAAATTCTCAGAAAATGCCCAAACGTAGGCCTATGTGGGCTATGAATGGGAAAAATACTAAAAAGTCTATTAGATTTTTATTTTAGGAGGAAAATGCAGTTTTGTGTTTATACAATTATACGCTCAACGATTTGAGATCGTTTCAACACATCAGAAAAAATACATAAAAAAATCTCCTTTTATTTCAAACAAAAGCTGTTTACATCTATGGAAAGAATGATAATTTTGCTGCATTTCGAGAGTTAAACTTTTGAATTTGGACTGACTTTGAGTATTTTACAGAATTTTAAACTTGGACAATTTTTCGCATCCAAAAAATATATTATGCTTTACTTCCAAGTCAAAATTTGCACTTTGGCATATGGATTTGGGTAAAATGACTATTATATAATGAATCTACTATGCTTCAACTTCCGAAAACTGCAATAAAATTTTTGAGCTACTGAAAAGATGCGATTTGAGAGCTCTC